TACCACTTCTTTGTATGTGAACTCCACAATAAATTACATAGAAAATTGTATAGCTAACAATCTGAGACTGCATGATTCACATGTGAGATTTCAGTGGGTTGGAGCATACTGGGTAAGGAAAGAAACATTAAAATATGAAGGGCTAGATTTTTAGAATTGTGAATGTTCTAAGCAGCCTAATACAAGTAAAATATAATTTCCAACAGTATTAGAAACTGCCAAATAGGAGCAGTCTGATCAGCTTCCTTTTCCTACAGAGAATAAAATTTAAAACACTGTTCTCCTTTTGTGGGCAAGGGGAAGGGGCAGGGGCAGAATTGCAAGGAAAGTAGGTCATGATGACAGCTTCTGTCCAGTTAGGCAGGATATTTGGAAGAAAATGGAATACAGTTTGTACTTCAGTATTTTTGCTTCAATGAGCAACAAGAAAAGAAAGTTTTTCATAAATTATAATGAATGGAATGTGTGTTAAGTTCATCCTATGCTTTCAATTAGAGATCTGAAAATCAGGAAAGTGTTTTGATTCAAATTCTGAAGCCCTTTGTTTGAGGACAAAGGAACTGGCACATAAAAAAGACAAAAGTACTCTTTTTTGCCTCTTGAATTAAGTAAGTAGAACTTAGTGCTGGTAGCCATTGTATAGGAAAACTGGCAGTGTTAGTTAATGGAAAAACATGAAAAAATAGGGGCATAGGAGCAGTTCATAAAACTAACAAGAATTATATTTTGGAAGGAAAGCTTCTTTTTGAGTGATAAAACTGACTTGGAGCCATCTTTTATAGCGCCTAAGTCTCAAGAATGAGAGAGGAGGTGGTTCCCAGATGCAGGAAATGTCTTTGAGCAATATGCTGTTTGTTTTTTCATGGCAAAGGTGCAGATGGGAAAAACACTGAGCTGTAGCAGATGCAGTAAAGAGGCAGTTTCCTGCAACATGTGAGAAGAATTTGGCAACATGGAACTTCTTTGATCTCGTTCTTTTTTCAAAGTTTGCAGGACATTCCTCAGTATGGCCAAGCAATGTATGCAGTTCCATGATGTAACGCTTACAAAAAGCAATGCGATACAAATTCACAGTACCAGCTGATTCCAGCTGATGATAATCTCCAGCAGTTATATGGCATGTGTCTATTAGCTCAGTGTACTTACAACTGTAGGTGCATTTTTAACACAGTCATACTCTGTGAAGATGATTTTGAAGAAAGACTGTTGGTTTTTCTTCAGTGTTTTGTCAGGGTGCATAGAACCATTTTACTGAGGCTGTTTTTCAGTTTCACTGAAGCAATGTATTGCAAAGTCTTGAGGTTGGAAAAAAAAAGTACACATTTTCAACGAGTGTTATGTGTATGTGAATTTTCAAATAAAAATAAAGATAAAAGCACGTGAAGTTAGCACCACTGTAACTTGAGGGCATTCTTGCTGGGACGACAGGGGCATAGGGAAAGAAGACCAAACAGAAAACCAGGTTAACAGCAGAAAGTAGAACCAAAGGGAGCTGAACTAAAATTCTTACTGCAGTTTAATTTCACAATTTCAGAGTTTCAGTTTTCAGTTTTTCATTAGTCAGTACATTTCTGTGGGACCTAATCTTTAGTAATATGCATGGCACCAAGAAACGTGTGCATAGAGTACATTACAGGTAATCTTCTATAGTATTTCAGGCTTTCACAAAGGTTTCCCTGGTATATCTGGAAAACACTTGCAGCCCCATGTTGCAATTGCCAAGTGAGTCAAAAGCTAATCAGAAAATACAGAAACAGAATCAGAGATAAACTGTCTTTATTTCATTTGTATCACAAATTGGATTTTCACCAAAGATTTCACTGAATGGGACGAGTTTTTAAGGAACTCCTCTGGGTAAAGTGGAAAACAAGTCTTCAAAGTGCTGTACCCATACACTCCTAAATTTCTCTGGTGATAGCAATTATACTCACCTTTTATTGCTGGGTCTGTAATGTCCATAAAGTAATGCAGTTGAGGATGCTGCTGCTGTCTGATGACTCGTCCTTTTCAGGAACATACATGTATCGAGTGGCTTGGACTTTGTTATGGTGGTACGAGGTTCAATCAAAAACAACTTTAACAGAGAAAGGAAGGAAGAGTCTGCTATTTCACAGCAAATGTAGTAAATATATATATGTAAAATGAAAATATATAGTAAAGAAATAATTGCTCCAGAAATGAGACTTTGTAGCTGTGTTCTGTTGAGTGGGCAGGGTAGTATAGAAGGGTAATTTATTGCAGACAATTCTGTTGTGTCATTATTCATCCAAAATAATGTGACTTAATACACTTGCAAACTAGTAGGTTATTTCCATAGAAACAGTGAAGTGCTAAATTGAGAACTCTGGAAGTGAAAAGAGCTATCCTGAAAAGCTGTAGTGTGTATGATGCTGATCATTTGGCTTGGGATTTCAGATTTAGAGGAGTTTTGCAGCCATGAAAAATTACTGGAAACTGCTACCTAAGCATATCCAGAAGGCTTATTTAAGCCTAAAATGATATCTGTGGGAGGCTGTGTGTGTTTGAGGCTGTCAGCTGACAAACATTTCTTCTAATGACAGTTCTGCCTCCGGCTGTCCTTGACCATGCCCAATTTCTGACACATGCTGGGACAACTGCACAATGAGCAGAAGCAGGGAACTTTTCCAGATGATGAATCACCTTCTTTTTTACCTTTGACTATTTTTCAGACAAATCTTTCTCCTAATGCAAGTCATCATGTAACAGCTTAAATACTCAATATGAAACATTTGAGGTCCAATAAATTGTCAAGAGTTAGAGGTTACTTCTTAGAGCGGCACTGCTTATCTTTGTTCAGCAATATTTGCAGAGGTTCAGAATTTCCCAGGTGCATCGTTATCAGGAAAGACAGCTTTGCAGGATGTTTGTTTTATTATTTCAGCTTATAAGGAAAAATTCTGAATCCTAAGCATGCTAAAGGGAGAGTTGATAGTAAGAAAAAATTGTTAATTTGAAAAGGATTTTAAAATGTGAACAAACAAATCTTAAACCCACATAGCTGTGAGCAATAGGAGGAGATTTCTGACAATATGCAGATTGTCAAATAAAAATAATGAAAAACTGAGTAACTGAAAGGTTGACCAATCCTGCAAAGATTTCTTTCAGTGTTTTTGAGTCATTTTCTATTCCAGTTTTAACCTTTGAGTGAGTATGAAGAGCTTAATGCTCATATTTTCAGGTAAACAGACTTGAAACGTAATTTTAGTTATTGTGGGAAAATGCCCAAGAAATTCAGAAGTTAATTCAAGAAACTTGTAGCAAAATCATAAGTGCACCTAAATAGGTATGCACTGAGCACAGGATGGCTTAAATATGGTTCCATAGTGTGCATAAGATACAAAACTATATTATTTTCATTTGGACAGGGAAGATTATTTTGTAGAAAGCTCTATGTGTTCTTAACTTCAGGCAAATTTTAGTAACACTGAAAAAAAAAATCTGAATTTATTTATCACTGGATACAGTTTTAATTAATAATTTGTGCATTAAGGAAGTAATTGCATCTCTGCTTATGTAGTTATCATTCACTAATTGTGGAATTTTGTTTGGACTTTTGCATGGATACAAGAACAGTGGTATTGTTAATCTTTCCTGCCTGTATATGCTAATAATTCTCATCTTTAGAAATTGAAACTGGAGCTTTATTATAGAGTATAAGCATTCCAGACTTGATTAAGTTTTAAACTTGTATCCTAGGATTAAATCTGAAAGAGTTAAATCTTCCAGAATGGTTGCAAGGAAAAGAGACAAAGACTAAGGAAAAAGAGACAAGAAAATATAAGGTGTTGTTTTCTTTTTCAGTTTTCAGATAGGATTTAGTTCTTAGGGAAACTGTTTTAAAGCAATTGGTTGGTTGGTTGGTTGCTTTCTAGCTGAGTTAGATAGATTTGACTGTGAAATCCATTAACCCAAGGCCTGTGTATGCGTCTGCAGGTGTCCCAGTGGAATTCAGAGCCGTACATTTCTCTGATGTCTGTTAACTACTTCAAATATAAGGGAAGATGCTTAGTTTTTCTTCAGGAGAATTTCTGACATTTTCTTCCCCTTTGGTCATAGAGAAATGATTGGTAGAATTTTAAGTTTCTTGAAATTATAACCTTCTTTCCTACTTAGGTTATGTGAGCCTTCAGTATTCCAGTCATGAGAATTGTCCTGACACTTCAGTCTTGCCAGTCATATCACATTTCTTTTTAAAGTGGAAAACTGTCATTTTTTATCCGGGTTCCTCAGACTTTAGCATTAGAAGATGAACAAGCAAAATGTTTCTTCTCTTTAAATTCTTTTGACAGCTTATGTGTGCCATACACTGAGTTCAAACAATATTTTTTCTATCTTCCTCTTCTGTTGTCAATGTTACATCCTTCTGGACGCTTTTCTAGTGAATAAGATGAGCATTCATGTCTGTCAAGTGCAGTAAAATTGCAGCATGCTGCCCTGTTATCACTGTGCTGTTGGCTTTATCTGCCCTTTTTGTCATGGAGTCACCAGCAGCTATTGCTCACCTTTTTCCAAGAACTCCTGTCAGGTACCTCCTAAAATTTTCTGTTCCACTTTGCCAGACAAGTTCCTCAGCAGGTGACTTGCTGAGTGTCTAACACCATTTCATAAATTGAGCATTTTCTGTTTATCTTTTCCCCTTTTGTTTTAAGTTGCCAGTCTGCTACAAGGGTTTCTGCTTTTTTGTGTTTTCTGACTGTTGAGCCTTTTTCTGATGATCCTTGCCAATGGTTTCTGAATCTTGTCGTTTAAAGAATATTAATTTGCTCCTACCATATCCACAGTCACACTTCAATCCCAAGAGCATATTTCACACTGCATTTCTGCTGGCTTGTACCAGGTGCACCTCTTTCAGTTGATGAAAAGGGAACACAGAATATCCAGTACTGGTCACAATTGCTGTTCCCTCATCATTTGTGCATATGGCAGAGAACAACTTTTTTGCAAAAGGAATCATACTTTCTTCTGACCTGCCTTCCTAGGTGGACCTACTCCAAATTTCAACAAAATGATATACCCAGAATCTCTCTCCTCTTAACTTTCTGCCCTTAGAGTACAGACTCCAGACATCTGATGTGATCGGTGAGTCCAAGACACAAGTTTTACATTCTTCTAAAGTAAAAAATACGCTGATATCCTTCAAGTAGACCTCTCAGAATCACCAAGTTCCAGACTATGAAAAGATATAAGCCAAGCAAAGGCTCATCTAATACCATAATTTCCAAGAACAGGATTTGCAGGTGGGCTCTCAAAAAATCCTGTTATCTATTTACCTGCTATAATCACTGTATCTTTTATTTGCTGTTGAGAGACTTCAGTGTACATTAAGTGATACTATCTGCTGATCATGCAATTTCCAGGTCAGTAATAAATATACACTCCACCAGCAGTCTAATAAAGAACTTTAAGGGTTATCATTGTTAACTGTTGCAACGTCAAAAAACTGACCATGTAGGTTTATTTCTCTTATCCTCAGAATCATCCCCTGTAGGTTAGTTTACCTATTAGTGAGTCTTTACATGTTCTCAGGATTTTTTTTTTAATCTTTAGGTTTGTTTGAATCATAACTGACTCTGGTGTTTCTCATCATGAAAGTTGTATTATTAGTGGCTGTAAACTCAATTTGGAAATTTCAAGATTAATTCTTCAAGTTATTCCTCCTTAATTTACTGTTTTCTTAGTTGAACTTCGTATCAAGTTACTTTTCAAACAGACAGAATTTTACAAGTTGGGCATATGTATCACACACCAAAAATTCACAAGTCAATTGTCTTTCCAATACTTTAGAAAATTAAGTATCCATTTTTATTTACAACAGAGCAAGGTTGCTTCTGTAGAGAACAGAATGCTAACATTAATAGTGAATGAAGCATGAAGGAAATGCCTCTGCATATGAAGACACCAGAAGTAACAATATAGTTCAGAAATTAAAAATATGGCACATAATGATTACTGAGGGTGCTATCAACAGCAATAAAAATGATTATAAGGAGTACATATACATCAGGACCAGAAAGCCTGAACTCCAGCTAAGACCATGTCAAGATTACTTAGCAGCAGAACACCTGGGTTCTGCTAACAGATTGTCACACAATCTATACCTGATATCTCAACAGAAAGGCAGCAATAAACACTAACAAAAAGAGAAAAGAAAGACAATGGGAAGCAGCCTTGACTTAGGATTATAGAAGATGAAGAGAGCTAAACTGGAAAAGCACTTCTAAGATTGTCATTTAGTAATACCATAAGAATTTTCACAACACTAACACACAAACAAAAAGGCATCACAATACTCCCATGGGGCTTCAAGAGATATATCCCCAATGGGAGGACTTCCATCTGCAGTGAAGCCAGAGATGTCACTGAAAGATCTAGCACATTTCCTTCTTCCCTTCTCCATTTTTGCCTACCTAAACCTTCTTCTGCCTCCTTCCTAGGGATCCACAGTTAAGGCAGCTCAGCTCTGTTTCAACACTTTTCCAAGGAAAAGGAGGAAATCCCCTGGTTGCTCTGAGTGGAACACAGCCCGTTTCTCAGCCCTCTTCCTCCCCTCAGCTGAAGCAGAGAAGGCATGAAGCAGTATTGCCCTAATGAGAAGAAAAAACTGCTGGAGGCAGAAGCACAGCCAACAGAAGCAGAGCAGAAGGTAAAACCATGGATTGCACAGGACAGTGCTAAGTATGTGGCTAACTTATAATACTGTAGTATCTTGGTATTCAATCATTTTGACCGCAATGGCAACATATACATTTAGAAAAACATTACTATCATACCGTTGATAAATTACTCATCATGGCTATCATTGCTAGATGATTAAAGGAATGCATTTGTCTGGGCTGTGTTCAAGATGAGCATTTTCATCTCCTGCAAGTCAGTGGTCCATTCATTCTTCCAGGAGCAGTAAATTAGATGTTGAGTAATCTGCCCTGTGAAACGTGTAAAGAAGCTGTTAAGAGAGCACAAAATATGTTTAGCCAGCAGTACCAGCTGGATGTGAGCCCGTGCAGGATACTTTGTTCAGCTGTCAGCTGCTAGCAGAACCACATGAGGATTAGTCTGTAACTCCCATCCCTCATCCCGCTTTTCATCTTCCCCTTTGCTTTGCTGTGTAGGGAAGAAAGATAAGGATGTAACAGAGAGGAAGAAGCAGCCACTGGTGCATAAATGGCTGGGGAGGACAGGCACAGTGGCATGCATGTAACGTTGTGCACACTGCTTTAGATCTGTTATTGGGGAAAAGACACCATAAATAGCATGAAATGACATTCCGCTCATCTCACCTGCCAGTCCTCTTTATCTGAGGAAAGCCACTCCCTTGTTGTTTGTTTGTTTCCATTCTGCCACTGTGAATGGTGGGGATCGGCCTTGTTCCTGGTACCATGGTGCAGGTGAGCTGTGACACCAAGGGAAGGAAGGAGTGGGGTGGAAACAGGTACTGGGAGAAAGGTTCTCGTGCTACAACTGGTGAAAGCAGCTCTAGAGCAACAAAGGCTGTAGCAACACCAGCTCCCTCGGGACTGTGTACATTGACATCTATCTCTCTCCAAATACAAGGTACAGCAGAGAGAAAGAACCCTGGTATTGAAAAGCTGGAACTTTTTTTAACCATTCGCATCTTCACATGTTCTTCCTGAAAGTCAACATAAGATGGTTTTACTGGGCTAACGGTAAACGTGCTTTACAAATCCCCAAATTTGCTCTTCAGGGTAAAGCAGCAGTGTGCAAAGCCTGCTATTTTGCCGTCAGCAAAAATCAATACAGACCTCCAAAGGAACGAGCAGCAGTCTCACTGTTATGTGATGACCTAAGCAAGGCGAGCTTTCTAGGGATAGATAAGAGCTTTTGTTGAACCAAATAATGCAGCCGCTCCATTGTGGATCTGTTTGGATCCACAAATCTTCAGAGTAGATCGGACAAGAGCACGATCTCACCAAAAGCCGCTCTCTTCCCCCAGCCGTACCGTTCCGTCAGCTCTCCGCCAGACGCCCACCCGAGCACGGTGCTTCTCGCTCACCCGCCGAGGCTCGCGGCCAGCACACTCGCCTGGCCCGCTCCCCGGCGCCTGTCCTCCGAGCAGGGCAGCGGGACCCCTGCCCGCCCCTCATGGCGCCGCGCCGCCCCGCCGCCCGTTGGCGCCGCGCTCTCCCTCCTTCCCCGCCCCGGGCCCGCGGGCTGCGCCGCCTCCCGAAGCCGATCCGCCACCGCGGTGACAGCGGCTCCGCACCCCTCGCCCCGCCGCCGCCGTTCCCTCCCCTCTGCCGCCCGCCCCCGGGCCCTCCTCCCGCCACTGATTCGGCGCCGGAGCCGCGGGTGCCCGAGCCCCCTCCCCGCCCCGGCCCCCGCGCTGCCGCCGCGGCTCCCGAGCTGTCAGTGTGCAGGCAGCACCGCGGCCCCGCGCCCATCCCCGCGCCGCCCACCGCCGCCAGCGGCCGCAGGTACGGAGCCGGGCTGCGGCTGGAGAGGAAGGGGCTGGGGCCGGGACTCCTCGGCCGGACGGGGCGACGGGAGGGGGCCTGCTCCGCGGAGGAGCCTGTGGGGGCCGCCGGCACGCGGAGCGGTGGCAGCGGGGCCGTCCGTCCCGCGAGGGCGGGCGCTCGGGACGCACTGCCGGGTCTGAGCCACGGGGTAGCTGGGCGCGGAGGGACGCTAGGGTGGGCTGCGGTCCCTTTCCGTCCCCACGGAGAGGCTGGACCGGCCAACGGAATAGCGGGGAATGCCTAAATTAGTCCCTTCTCTTTTCCCTCTTTTTATTTTTGTTTTTCTAATTTCCACTATTATTAAAAGGGTAGAGTTTATGGGGACGGGCGTGAAATCGTGGCCCCGCTTGGAGCCGAGGTTGAAGAACCTCCCGAAGGCCGGCCACAGGGAAGGGAATCCTTAAAAATGTCCCGAGGGGCAGTTTCTCAGATGGTAAATAACGCTTTAGCTTCCTAGGGGAGCTAAGTCCCATGGGTTTTCCCAAAACTGGCGTATGGAGCTGATTCTGTTACATACAGTACTTTACCAAATAATTTAGCTCAGTCGTTCTCTGTGTACTTGACAATCCCAATGTCATCTCCTCAACCCACTCCCACAAAGCTCCTGGGGAAGTGGGTCAGCATCCCCAGATGATGTATCTACCAGGCATTCGGTGAGTTTCTGCTCTGCCAGCTGGCTGGGAGGCAGCATTGTGACCCTTCATTATGCACATACTGAATGAGCCTTGCTTCAATTATTCATTCTGATGCTATTGCAACCTTCTGCAGTTTCTCTTCTCCAGGGAGATGATGTGTAACAAGACTTTGAAATACTTTGCCATTGAGTCTGTGATCTGATCTAAGCACACAGCAGCTGTTTGCTCATGTAGCCATTCTTAAGGGTTAATTTATAGCAGTAAAATGTATGTCAGGGAAGAGTGAGGATTCCCAGTAGGGCGCATTACCCTCTGCATTCCCTCTGTTCACCTCTAGAAAGCTGCAATAAAGCTGAAGCCAGAGTACTTGAATGGCTATTGGACAAGGATCTGAAAATATGTTTTGTATTTTGTCTCAAAGAGTTAATGCCACAAAAGTACTTTTGGTCTCCTTAAGGGAGAACCTGTGGCTTCAGCATGGCATTGGTTTAAATCAGATAAGTTGTCCATATGGTTGACATTTGCTATTTTGTTGATGAAGAAACAGGTTCAGAAATTAAATACATTGGAAACAGAGATTTGGCGACAAAACGTGGAATCTCATTTGTAGTTATTCATGTTTTACTAATGTGATCATCTGTTCATTTTGCCATGTTCTCCAGATAATACTCATTGATAAATGGAGAACCATTCATATTTTCTAAGTACAGGAGGCTAGATTGACCCACAGAGGCAAGTGGCCTTACTTGTTGAAATATAGCTGTGACCCGCAATCAAGCAGTGCTTATATTCTCTCTTTCAATAGTAGACAAATTTTCAAATAGCAGCGAGGCCAATTGTAGATTTCTGGTTCTCAGAATTCTCATTTGTATACCAGACAGTAGCCTGGTTGGACACAGACACAAAGAGAAACGCTGTATGCCAGAGCTGTAAAGAGCTGAGGTAACTTTGCGTGCATAGCACCCAAGAATGTGAAGACCAAAAGAGGCTAGTGCTAATACAAGAGTGAACATGCAGTGATTTTTAGTCATTCTGCTAAAATTTTACATTCTTATGGTTAATTATAGGCAGAGAGCACTGAAATAAACAAATCTGATAGCAATGATACATTTCCAAGATGGGAAGTACCCCTGAGAATATTCTCAGCTGAGAAACCTTCATTGCTACTTTGACTCTAAGGCATGAGATTAGAATGAGATTAGATTGAAAATGTTAGAATCTTAAAAATGCTGAAGTGTGGGGCTCTGTTACCAGCATTTGAAGTCAGATATTAGGATCTGGTAGGTTTTACTCTAGAACTCTTCCATTCACCCATTCTTTTTCACTGCCCAAAGCATGAAGTGTACATTTTACTCAAAGATGCGTAGTTAAAGAGAATGAAGTTCAACTTGCATTAGAATTACATCTTATTGACTAGTTTGTAGCATTGCATCTTTATACTGCCTTGGAAGACATTAAGGCTTGGTATCTGATAGTTCGTCATGCTTTACTAAAAGAATCTGCCTGATTCAATCCAGGTTTCACTCAGCAGAGCTGAAAAGCTTTAGCTCTTTCTTTCTGATTTGATAGTTCCCATTGCCCAGGATATCCAAGCACAGATAAATGAGGACTTAAATTTTCCTTTCAGCTTTCCTAAATCTTTACCTTTGCCAAGAAATGGAATTTTCCCGATGTTCAAATGAGACAAGTCAGTAATCTGCAAATGCTGTGCTGCTGTCTCTCTTTCAATCACCTTTATCCCCCTGAGTGATTTCTTGTTTTGGTAAAGCCTCTGTCTAGAAGCATACATCCTTCACCAGACAGGTTGGAGAACAAAGGAGGAATTCCTGCTGCCTCTAATCAAAGGTCTGAGGTTTCCAGCAGAGGTAGCCCAGTCAGAATCAGGAGCTGATCACAGATTAGAGCGGTAAGTGGCCACTCCTGAGGCTAATAATTGATTACTAGAGCTCCATTGGCAAACAGTGCAGATTCATAAAGTCCTGTTTCTTCTTCTTCACCCTTCAGCTGGTTAATCCATTTCATGTATATTTTTTGTTGTCAGAGATTCAGCAACATTGTCAGGAAAACTGTTATACTGGGTACAAGAATCTGGGGAACCTATGGAAGCAGATACTGAAATGAGAGCCGGAACCAGTTGAGAGATTTGAGCCACTGTTGTCAGGAGGAAAACCAGGTCCTCTTTATGCCCATGTAACTAAGGTTTATGATCTATCATGTGCCTGTTCATGAGTTGTGACTGGTGTTTGAGCTCTGAAGAAGCACCTGCAGTGCTTTGGTTAAGGGCAGGTGCAAAGAAAATATTTAGCTGATGAAAATCTTCTAAATGCCTCAATGCATCCCTTCCCTTGTGAACTGCTAGTTTAACTCAAAGTAAATGCAGTAAATTACGACATTTTGAATACATCCTTAAATCGGTGAAGAGAACTGGCTACATCTTTCCCATTCATTCTTTCCAGCAGATTCTAACAGAGTTGTCTTTTATTTTTGTTTTCATTTCTTTTACACATGAGAACATTTTTTGTGGCATGGATGAG